GCAGTTCCTCCGCAAGCGGAAGCTGTCAAACCCGAAGCTTGGCCCCTTCCACCACCGCAGCCCCTCTGACATCTTCCTGCGTACGGTGCGCTCCATGCTGCCCCGCTACACCAAGCGCGGCCAGAAGGCGCTGCGCCAGCTCGTCGCGTACGAGGGCGTTCCCACGAATGTTGTGCGCACCGGTGGCCGTGTGGTGATCCCCCAAGGCGCAGCGTCACTACTGCTACCGCGGCGAGCGTCCCTACACGGTGCTGGGCAACATGTGCAAGCACGTTGGCTGGAAGTACAGCGATGTGGTGAAGAAGCTCGAGACTGCCCGCGTGGAGAAGGCAACCCGCCACCACAAGAGGACGGAGAAGCTGCGCGTCGCCTGGAAGACCGCTCGCAAGGAGGCCCTTGCAAAGGTCTCCAAGAACAACCTGCAGGTGCTGAAGAAGTTCGGCTACGCGTAAGTTTCTTGGCGGCTTTTCTCATTCGTCCGGCACTCGTGGTGGGTTGGGATTATGCGATGGTGCATGAAGAGAGCCCAAAGTTTCACTCAATTCATTTTTCTCATTTCCCTCAATCTCGTTTTTCTTTTGTTTTTTTTACGCTTATTTTTTAACTCAAAAAAAAAATGGCGGTTCATCCCGTGACGGCCTCCATTGCCACTGTTGGGAGACTCGCGTGCCGCACAAAGTTCGCTGCCCCACCCCCAGCAAGGGACTGCGGCAAAGACTCTTCTGCTTTTTCTTTTGCTCCTTCGGGCGGCGGGTGGGCCGTCTTTCGCCAGTTGCTTGGAAGGAGCGGAGCTGGGGTTGATCTCCCTCCGTGCCATCTACACCGAATAAAGCGGTGGGAGGCGAACAGGTAAAAGAGGGAATTAGTGAAGTCGAAAAGTCACACGCCGCATGTCTGCCCACGCCGGTCCGTCGCTTGGAGCCAGTGGGGAGGAGGAGAAGGACCCGCGGCGTATCCTGTCGTGGGAGGAGTACCGAGCCGAGTACGTGAGACAGCAGAGGCTGCGGTACCAGCTGCAGCGGGAATCCAATGCAAATACTGAGAATGACGCGGAAGCGTTCTCCCCCACTGCTGCTGCTGCTGCTGCTGCTGCTGCTTCGCCCCAAGAACGGTGGGAGCAGGGACAAGCGCGGAGGCAAAATCTTGCTCAACAGCAGCAGCCACAGCCACAGCCACAGCCTGCCGAAGCGGGCATTGACATCTGGGCCAGGATTGAGCTTCGCCCTGGCGATGTTATAACCGTTGTGCGAGTATTGGGGCGGGTGTTCCTGGCGACCTTCCTTGTCTTCAGAACGTTCTCCGTGTATTACTTTTTTCTGACGCTTCTGATTTATATGGGGTGGCGCGCGGGGCAACGTGCGTTGGGGGCGATAAGGATAGAGCGTGAGAACCGAGATGCTGCGGGGAATTTATTCCGGGGAACGGCGCACCCTGAGGCGCAGCGCCGCCACCACCACCGCCGCCAGCGCGTCTCCCTGCCCCGGAAGGCGGTGTACATCTTCACGCGCTGCATCACGTCCTTCCTGCTGAGCCTTTCGCCGACGTACTCGGTGGAGCAGTTGGAGTCGGAGCTGCAGGAGGACGGCATTGTGGGCCCGCACCTTCACCAGGACTGACCCACTGAGAAAGAGAGAGAGAGAGCCGTGGGTGGTGCCGTCGCCGCTTACGGAACTGGGCGCTCATGTGTGTGGGTGCCTCGCGCGACCTCTGTGCTTCTTGACTCTTGCCGCTCCTTGTAAAGAGAAGTAACCGACGACAACAAAAAGAAAGTGAACTCGCAGGGATGCACAGTACAAGTTTTCTTCCTCTTCTTCCTGGCGGCTGCCTGCGCACCGCAATGCGTCTCCTTTCGTGGGTGCCCACCAGCACCACCCTCCCCCTCCTCGCTTTCTCTCTCGCTCCCCCTGTGGGGCGCGACGCAACGGGGCAGGCGTGCCGACACACCCGCACACGCACACAAGATACATAACGTCACCTGCGCAACGCTGAGGGAGAAGGAAAAGAAAAGAAAAAAAAAGGGAAGGGAGACAAGTAGTCGGTGGCGGCGCTGCAGAGACCCCGGAAGCGACACACACAAAAAAAAAAAAAGAATTGGGACCCAGAAAAAATGACGCTCGGATTACAAGGAGAATTTACTTTTTTGCATGCCCTCCTCTCCTTCGTCGTTGGCACAATAGCTGTCCTTTTCTTTCGCTTGTTTCTGCGCAGCAGACAGCACCTTGTGGAACTGGCACCTGAGTTTGTCTTTGTTCCACGCGGCTACACACTGGACGAGCTGAGCGAGTACGATGGAGTCAAGAAACCGCTGGCGTTTGTCAGTGTGCGGGGGGTTATTTACAGCTGCTCCACGGAGATGTACGGCCTCAATGCACCCTACAACGCCTTTGCCGGCCGCGACAGCTCGCGGCACTTGGGCAAGGTGAAGGTTGGGCGGGAGGAGTCCAACGCGGATTGGACGACGCTCTCGGAGAGCCACCTCGCCGCGCTAAAGGACTGGGAAGAACTACTGCGCAGCAAATACGTGGCGGTGGGGTGGATCATCCCCTCCGAGGACTTCACCAAACGAGCGGAGGCGTTTGAACCGTAGCTGCGGTTCATTTTAGTTTCCTTTTTTTAAATTGTGCAATCAACTTTTTGGCTATTTTTTTTGTTTTTTGCTTGCTTGTTTGTTTGGTTTTTTGTTTTGTTTTGCTGTGCTGCATTGGCGGCGCCGGTGGCGACGCCCCACAAGTGAACTGCCCCCCTTTTCCTTCATTTTTTTTTTGCATTTGCTTCTCCCTCTCTGTTTCTTTTCCTCCGCTCATGGCATTCCGCCGTTGGGGGGGGGGCGCAGGCCAACGGAGAGGTGCCTTTCCTCGAGCGAGGAATGTCCGTCGACGTGTTGACGCCGGAGCCGGCGGCCCCCGTCACCTGCCAGCGTGGCGGCGACGCGGATTCCTCGCCAGGCACGGCGGACGCGACTGAGAGCTGCGGCGGCTCCTCCTCCAGGGACGACAGCAGCGGCCCCTCGCAGCTGTGCAGGCGGTGCGCCCACCCGCTCTTCCCCGCCGCAGGGCAAGAGGAAGGCGAGCTGAGCCCCACGACGTATCTGTCAATCGTGCGTCGCCTGCAAGCGAAGGTGCACGCGCTACAAGAGGCACTGCTGGCGTCTAGCCAGTGCGCGTCTTTGCTGGACTCCCTCAGGCGACCGGGCGAACTGTCCACGACGGAAGTGCCGCTGCAGCAGCCACGAAACTCCGGGGAGGGGAACGTCACGCGCAGGATGCGCAGCGAGTGGTTGCAGGCGGTGGAGGCGAACAATGCCATCACCTCGCTCCAACATGTATCATCGCAAATAGGTCCAGAGAACTTCAACGCCTGGATGAGTGGAACTTCGCTCAACTCCTGGAAGCACCGTGGCGTCGCCCCCGCGGCCCGCGTCCACCTCAGTGCCTGGGAAGACGCAGGGGGGGAGGAGGCTGCGTCCCGCGCTTTGGACCCAAAGGAGGGACGCGTTTGTGGTGCCACCAAAGCGCCGGCAATTCCCTGCGTTGCGGTGGATCCAGTCATACTCGTGGATATCACGGCTGTGATGCACAAGAACGAGTCGCGGTCTCCTGCCGCGGCGTGCGAGGAGGATGTTTCGCGGGTCAAACTGAACGCCGACGCCGAGCATTTAACGGCGGAGAATGTGCGGTTGCGGGAGGAGGCCGCTGAGGCGCGGCGCGCGTTAGAAGGTAGAGAAGAGGAGGTGCGGCGCCAGCAGGTGGAACTGGCGGCACTGAGCCAAACTGTAAAGCAGCTGCAGGAGTGCAACAGCAAATTGCAGGAGGCGTGCGACGCCATGCAACGGCGGTGCGACGACGCCACCGAGACGGCGCGGGCCTCCGAGTCGAGGTTGAAGAAGCTGACCGCAACGATCGATTCACTTGAGGCGGAGAGCAAAAAGAGGGGCGCCGAGTGCGCGGCGGCCAGGCGTGAGACGGAGGATGCATGGCAGGAGGTACGGCGGTTGGAGTCCGCGCTGCGCGCGTGGGAAGTGAAGGAGCGTGAACTGCAGCGGCTTCGCCTGTTAATGCGCTTCTCAGAGCTGAAGAAGGACAGTGACAGGCTCACTGTCATTGCGGGGGAAATGGAGTCTGCCGAGAATGAGCGGGACCGTCTCCGCGAGGAAAACAAGCGTTGCCGTGAACTCCTCTCGGAGTATCGCAGGCGACTGGAGGTGGCCGTGGCAAACGCCGTCAGGCCTGCGCCCGCGACCGCCGCGCCGCAGTGTCCCTCAATGCGCGACTGTGAGGTGCCGCCGGTGCCGGAGACGCTCCAGGCGACCGTGACGCGGCCGCGGTCGGCTGCCGGAGTGCGCGGGCCGCGGCGGCCGAGCGTCGCGTCGGACACGGCCGGGAGGAAGCGGAAGAAGTCTGTGCCCCATCTGCGGCACCGCCGCCCTCCATCCGAAAGACACTCGCTGGGCTTTGCGTCGCTTTTCCCCGGAAGTAGGAGGGGGCAGTATTTTTTTGGCGACGGGGACGACGGCGCCAGCTATCCGCATGCGCTGAGGAAGTGACGCGGCCCCGGCGCTCGCCTCCTCTCACGACGCACGCTGCGCCGTTGAACCGCGCCACCACAGCCGCGGCATCATTGCCAATTCAAATGTAGAATACAACTTTTAGAACATGACGTAGGGGGAGGGGTCACCGGAACGGAGCCGGTTAGACGTTACGGCGCAGGCAACTTCGCTTGCTCCGCGATGCGCTTGCTTGGTCCTTTGCCCTGCTTTATCTATTTCCCTACACTCTACACACTTCACTCTCACTCACCTTTTACTTGTGGAAGATCTAATTACTGCTTTTCAACCCCGTTTACACACACGCACACACACAAAATATGATGACGCTGATTATTGTTTCTGTCATTGCATGACACAAGTAACGATGGACGGCATTGGCGTCTGTTCTTTCTATATTTCCTCTTTTCTCTTTGGTTGCTTATGTATAGGGAGATAATAGAAGTTTCGGGCGGAGTGCTGAGGCTGCCTAGCATGTTTGCCAGGTGAGACAAGTGGAACGTTGCCAAGCTGTATCTTCATTAAACCTTTCTTTCTTCCCTGTGGCGCCGCCTGCTGTCTTGCTTTTGTCAGAATCGTGCTGCCGCTGTTCTTCTGCTGCCTCCTGCCGCCTTCCTTTTGTTTCGCCTTTGCCAAGCCGCACCACCACTGCCCCTGAGCAGCGAGGGGGGGTTACGCGCAGACGGTGCGTCTCTGCTATCCTCTGCTACACTGTTCTATTATCTTTTTCCCCAAACTGTGCCTTTTTTATCGCATTTTTCCCTCCTATTTTTCTCCTACTTTTCGCGGCACTTTCTCGTGGGCGCCGTGTTGTCGCTTTTTCACAGCAAGTTGTGGACGTCCCGTCACTTATCACGTTGACCGTTCATCCCTCTGCCCATCCCGCACCGGGGCGGAGTTGTCCCTCACGTTTGGCTTGCCACAGACTGAGCTCCGTGGGCGATGGGGCTCCCCAGCGCCGTCGCGGGGTCGCCGCCCAACGCCAAGGCGGGCAACAGCAAGGGCGGGGAGGCGGCATCTAGAAACGTCCCGGACGGGCCCGCCTCGCCCGCACAGAAAGTGCACGACCAACGCGAAGAGAAGTGTTGTCTGCAGCAGGCCGCTCATGACTCCGCGGGCACGGCGGCGCCTGTCCTGGGTGGCTTGGGCGCTCAGTGTTGGGCAGACGCCCCACCCGCGACAGCCGCCCGGAGGCCGCTGGGGGCCGTTCATGGCTCTGGCGGGGAGGCGGAGGACAGTAAAAAAGTAGAAAAGGCCGTGCACCGAGACCCCAGCGAAAATGGTGCTACTCGCGCCGCTGGGTCGACGCCTCCGTGCCCGGTCGAGCTTTGCGCACGGGCACGGGGTAATGCGCCAAGCATCCCAAGCAAGATTGCATCAGCGTTGAAGGCATTGGGGGCGGCAAAGGTCGATGCTGCTGCGGAGGCTGCGGTGGGCCCCGTAGACGTCACGAAGAAGGCAAATAAGGAGAAGGTAAGCCATGCGGAGCTGGCAGACACAGCAGCCGCAACAGCGAGTAGGCCAACGGGGGCGGGGGCGGCGGCTGCGGTGGACACGGGTGACGAAGGCGGTGGCCACGGTGGTGGCTTAGACAAGCCGGAGGGCAATGCCGCAGCTGTAGCAGAAGCCAAGGATAGCGGGGGACAACCAAAGGAAGATAATTCTACAATGCCACCTCAAAAACAGGTACAGCAGCAGAATCAGCATAACCAGACAAAGCGACATACGGTGGTCACGACAACCGAACATGCGGGCGGGGGCTTCCATGGGCGATGTGTACCCGTTGCTCACACCAGTAGTTCCACGGCTGCGGCCACGCCGGAGAACTGCGCCCGCCCCGCGCTGGCCCTCAGTCTTCACTTAGTTGCGCTCTACAAGAGGGTGAACGAGATGTATTGTCGCCAAAGACGTTTGGAGGCTCCCGGTCCAAAGTACAACAACGGGTTTGACGATAAGGAAGGGCACTACCTTGTGTTGTCCGGGGAGGAAATACTCAACCGGTACACAGTCCAAGAGGTGCTTGGCAAAGGCAGCTTCGGCACAGTTGTCCGCTGCTACGACGAGAAGCGGCGTGAGAACGTCGCCCTCAAAATCACCCGCCACGGTCTTAGTTTTCGCACGCAGGCGAAGCTGGAACTAGACATTTTGTTGAGGCTAAATGTTAACCCACGCCTCAACCAGCTTGTTGTGAAACTCTTGAAGGTGTTTGACTGGCAGGGGCATCTGGTGTTGGTATTTGAGCTGCTCAGCTTTAACCTCTACCACCTTATTAAGTGCACCCGCTACAACGGCGTGACGCTGGACTTGGTGCGCAAGTTCGCCTACCAGTTGGTGCAGGTTCTCTACCAGCTTGAGCAAACCAAACCCAGCGCAGTCATTCACTGCGACGTCAAGCCGGAAAACATTCTTCTTAAAAATCAAAATCGTAGCGGAATACGTCTAATTGACTTTGGCTCGGCGTGCTACTCCAACAAGGTTGTTCACAAGTACATACAGAGTCGCTATTATCGTAGCCCGGAGGTCATACTGTACCTGGAATACGGGACCGCCATCGATCGGTGGTCGTTGGGGTGTGTGCTGGCCGAGCTCCACACCGGTGTGCCGCTCTTTGATGGACGGACCGAAGCCGCACAACTGGCCCGCTTTGAGGCCATGCTTGGACCGCTGCACGTGGACATGCTGCAGTCCTCGCCAAAGTTAGACAGGTTCTACACGTCGACAGGGAACGGGTACCGACTCAAGGAGCAGCCTCTGCCACGGCGTTCTCTTGAGAGTGTCTTGGGCGTCACCACCGGCGGTCCTCGTGGCTCGCGGAAAGGAATGCCGGGGCATAGCGAGGAAGCCTACCGCCAATTTCATGATTTTCTTAGTGGACTGCTGAAATATAGGCCTGCGGAGCGAATGAGCTGCTATGATGCGCTGCGGCACCCGTTCATTGAGCCACTCTGGCTGGCAGACCACCACCACCACCAGTAGCAGCAGCAGCAGCAGCAGCAGCAACAGCAACAGCAACAACACTCTCGAAAATCGCTCCCGCCACCGCCGTGACCGTCGCCGGTCTTTTGCCTAGATGAGACTAATTGACGCATAATTCCAGGCTGTGTGCGCTGGTATGCTCGTTGTGTGTGTGTGTGTGTTTTCCTTTTCCTTTTCCTTTTTTATTGGTGCTGTTCTCCTGTTACCCCTCCATACTTCCGTCTCATCCTTTGCACTTAACATTGTTTCCCGTGGGAGTCTCCCTCCCCCCCCCCCAACTCGGGTCCTAACGACGAGTTCTGCAATCACAGCTTCCCGCGAAGGCACGCCCATCGCTGGTGCGTGCTTTCACACACAGACACACACTCCCAGGCGTGTTGGGGGGCGTGGGGGGACGAAAGCGTGCACCAACGAGGCAGCTGTCATGGGTGGCACGAGGCGGGAATGCCACATGTGTCGCACTCTGTAGCATTATATAATATATATGTGTGTGTGACTGTGTGCGTGTGCGTATTTTTGGGAGGCGGAGTGCGGAACTCGTCTATGTGAAGCTTATTGCAACCCTCTCCAACAAAGACAAGCTCAAATGTAAGTATTGGAGGAAGTTTATTGGTGCGCATTCACTGGATCCCTCCGCCACATTCCTTGTTGCTTCCACTCTTCAAGCTGGCTCGCTGCCCGGCTGCGTGCGGAGGGGTGTGCAAAGCGAAGGGCGGGGAGGGGGGAGGGGGCGCTCGCGTGCGACGAGCAAGCGAGGCGTCTAATAAAAGGAGGAACGAGTGGGAGGGAAGAAGTTGTGCGGAGGGAAATTTTTCCACGCCAATGCATAGCTTTTTTGCGTGCGTGTGTTGTTTGGTCTTTTGTTTGTGTTTCTGGGGGGGCCTGCGAGGAGGAATTGTCGTGTCCCACACACTCCTGCCGCGAGCAACGCTAATTGACTTGCCCGCTGCTTCATTTTATGGCTATATAAGCCGCGCTGCGGGGCAAACTCTGAGCGCCCGACCAAACCCTTTCCGCCCCGCGCGGAAGGTGGCCTAAAGCGCGACTTTACGATCTCGATTTCTTCAGTGTTTTTCTGTTTTTGTGGTTTTTTCTCCTTATGCTTAGTGTGGATGCTACGGGTTTGCTTTTTGTCTCGGCTGTTGGTTACCGCAAGCAACATGTTGCGGTTCTTCTGAACCAAAAAAGGGAGGGAAAAAAAAACGTGGAACGTAAACTATAAAACTCCCTTTTCACTCTTCTCACGTTCTAGTAGGGGGAAAAAGTAGGGCTTAGGCTACTCTCTTGATGCTTTCGCCGTGCGGGCACGTGCGTGCGTGGATGTTCTCTCACTGGAGAGGGGGAGGGGGCCGCCCCACGACAGTGTGCGCAGGCGAGAAAAGCGAAGGGCGTAGCAGCGTCGGGCGTGGAGGAGGTGTGGAGGCTGTGTAGCGGGGGAGAGGCGTGTGCGTGTGTGTGTGTGTGTGTGGTGAAGCTGCCCTGGCGCTGCTACAGAGTGCGAAGAAGGCCTACGAAATTATTGTATTAAAGCTGCACATATGTGCATGTATGTGCGTGCCGACGGGCCCTTGCAAAGCCTTCCGCTCCTCATTGCAGCTGCGGCTCCGTCCCTCGCAACCCCGGCTTGCGGATGGTGTGCGGAGTGGACGGCTCGCAAGTACATTCCACCACCCTTCATCGCCGTCGCTCTTATTTATCTTCCTCTGCCTTTTTTTTTTCTTTTGCTCTTCCTGCTGCCCACCTGTGCCGGGCGTCGAGAGGTGACTAGCCGCGGCTAGAGTGAACGCGGGACCACATCGCAGCTAGAAAGGGGCCCAGTGCAGCAAAGGAAGGGCGATATTAGGAGTAGTGTATTCCAAGTAGATCCAGCTACGTTACAGACTACAGCCGCATTGCTTCTCCGTCTCGTGCCAATGCCGGCCAGCACAAAGAAGAGCAAGGGCAAGAATGTCATCCATAATAACAATGACAGTAACATTAACAACTCCCTGAACCATAAAGGCCACGCTGGGAAAGATAAAAAGCAGGCTGAGAATGACGAGTTTGAAAAGGTCCTGGCGGACCTCAGCAAGGCCACGGAGGCCGCAGGCATGCAGCGGGCCAAGATGACGGAGCGTGATGAGAAGCGGCGAAAGGAGCGTGAGGAGCGGCACAAGAATATCGCTGCGAAGAAGACGGAGACGGAGATGGAGTTTGATATGATGCTGCGCCGCAAACAGCAGAAGCAGCAATTCCAGGACCTCCTCCAGCAGCTGCTAGCCGCCCAACGTGTCCTCCTGGATGCGCCGAACACAGATTTCCACGGCGAAACGGTGACGGAGAACCCTCACTTTGACGTGGCGGTAGGAGAAATGCAGGGCTGGCGCGCCCACATGGAGGATGAGCACCTGGTGGACGTGGCATTCCCCACGGATGCGCCCAATAGCAAGGAGGGGCTCTTCTGCGTCTTTGACGGCCACTCGGGGAGGGAGTGCGCCAAGAGGTGTCGGGAGCTGATCCCCAAGGCGGCGCGGAAGTACTTCACGCGGGCACCGGAAGAAAACGCGAGCACCACGGTGGACTTTGAGAAGGTCTACCTGGAGGTGGACAGCACGCTAGAGAAGGAGTTGACGGACGGCTCAGGCTGCACGGCAGTCACCGTGCACGTCACGCCGGACGCCATTACATGCGCCTCCGTCGGTGACTCTCGGGCGGTGCTTTGCCGCAACGGCGCCGCCTTTGACCTTTCCAACGACCACAAGCCAGAGAATGCGCTGGAGCGCGCGAGAATTGAGGCCGCAGGAGGCTCTGTCTCGGAGAACCGCGTGAATGGTCAGCTTGCGATGAGCCGGGCGATGGGCGACTTCACGTACAAGTCGCAGAAGAACCGTGATCCGATGGAGCAGCACGTCATCGCCGTGCCGGACGTCGTCAGCACCCCGCGGCAGGCCGGTGACGCCTGGGTGGTGTTGGCCTGCGACGGCATTTTCGACGTCCTCGACAATGACGAGCTGCTGGAGTGCGTGCTGGTCAAGAAGCACCAGGGCAAGAGCAACGTGGAGATATGCGAGGAGATTTGTCGTGAGTGTTTGGCGCCACCGGTGGAGGGCGGCGGGCGCAGCGCGCGCGCCGAGGGCACAGACAACATGACCATCATGATTGTGGATCTTAAGTGAGGCCGGATGCAAGCGCGCGCACGCGACTCGGTGTGTGTGTGAGAGAGAGCGTGTGGGTTTGCCAATAGGTCTGGGCGTGGGGGCAGGGGGAACCCCCCAATAAATTTTAATATCGCAGAATCTCTGCTCCACCAATGAGGCTCCATGGCGCGAATGGGGCGTGGGCGGAGCAGGGGGGCATGCGGAGAGACGCCGGTGCCCAGCGCAGAAAATTGGGGAGGGAGCCGGAAGCAAAATACAGATGGATAAAAAAAACGAATACACACAGAGAAGACGACTAAACAAGGGAGACGGGTGGGGGAGGGAGAAATGGCGGTGTGTGTGTGTGTATGTATGCGTGTGCGTAGCTGGGGCTAGCGACGCTGCGCACCGTCAAGGGTGGGGGAGGGGCGCGCTATATACACACCTCTCCGCACATCCTGTGTATAGCCACGCAGGCAGGCAGGCAGGCAGGTACGTGTGTGCTGTCACGAAATAACAAACAGATATATATATATATAAGGAAAATGTGGCAGCAGCTGCAGCAGCGGCACGAAAGAGGGATGCGAGACGAAGAGGGTTGGCGGATGGCGTCGCATCAGCCAATGGACGTCTCTCTCTCTCTCTCTCTCTCTGTGTGTGTGTGTGTGTGTTGCTGTCGGCCTGCTCTGCGTGCGTGCCAAGGGCGCCACGCGAAGACGCGTTGCAGACAACTACAAAGTCCTTTGATTAACGGGATCTGTGTGCCGTGGAAGTCGTCCCGCCTTTCCCTTCCCTCCGGGGCTTCGCGCGCACGCTACTGTGCCCATAGGAAAGTAAAGAAAAAGAAACGGGATATACACGTGGGGTTGTATGGAACTGTCTGCTCCTATGCATAAAATTACAGTCGTATTTGTACTCTCATTCTCCTTTGCAAAGGCGCGTGTTGTAACCAAATAACTTCTCTTTTCTCCTCTAAGAATAACAACGACGCAAGCGCAAAGAAGTGGATTATGTAACGAGTTGGGAGCGGAAAGTTTTCTTCTTCTTTGCTGTCGCTGTCGTTATTGTTATTGTTGTCGTTGTTGTGCTTTTTTTTTTCCTTTTGATGTGTACCACACACGTTACGCTTTCACTAGAGAAGTACTTTCACGGTGGTTGATTGTGCCATGACGTACGCAACAATCTGCTTGGCGTGTTCCTCCGTCGCAAGTGTGTGCCAGTGCACTTCTACTACTAATACTACTACTAGTAGTAGAAGTTGTGCTCCGTACGAGGTTTGGGTTTATTGTCACCATCGGCGCTTCTTGCCCCTTCCCCTTCCCTCCCTCTCGCTGGGTGCGTTTGTGTGTGTGTTTTTCCTTTTCGCTTTCATTGGTGTTGTCGCTTTTGCATTTTTCTTGTGTTTTTTTTTCGTTTTTGTTTTTGTGTTTCTCGGTGCGTTTTTGCTGCGTAAGCCTCTTTGTCTCCGCGGCTTCCTCCGGGGCGTGCGCGCACGTTAGATCCGGCTGCTGCGGAGGCCATGCGGGTAGCTGCGGCCTACGGCCTGGAGCTGCAGTCTCGATCGATCGCGCCGTTTTACCACCCGTCGAATGGGAACATCGAGTCCCACCGCTTTCTTGTGGGGACGTCTAGTTTTGCGGGCGACAACAAAATTCACGTGCTCGAGTACCAAGACGAGACGCGGCTTCTCGAGTGCTCGACCGTGTGGTTCCATGAGGAGGAGGTGTTTGGCCTGTGGAGCTCGCCGTCCTTGACGGAGCCGAGCCTGTTTGCGGCGGGCTCGCCGGGCACGACGCGCGTCTTTCAGGTGCCGGAGTCGCTCGCGTGGGAGCTGCGGGAGGTCGCCGCCTTTGACGTGGCCGCCTCGCAGGTGCTGTGGGACCTGGACGGGCTGCAGAACGAGCTGCGGCTGACGTCGCAGGACACGCTGCGGGTGTACGCGCTCGGCGAGGGAGGCGCCGGGAGGGAGGCGGCCCGCTTCCGCATCGCCGGCGACACGCGGATCAGCTGCGCCGCCCTCGACCCCCACCACTCCTCCGTCTGCATGGCGGCCTGCGAGAAAAGCGGCCTGCACCTGGTTGACACGCGCAAGCGGCACCCCGAGCCCATCGCCGACACGGCCACCCTGCATGGGATGGGGCAGACTCGCTGCGTCGACTTCAGTTCCTGCCAGGCAAACCGCTTTCTCACCTCCGGCGATGACGGGTGCGTGCTCTGGCACGACCTGCGCATGAGCGGCACGACGTGCTCCGTGGAGCGGCGGCACCACCTGCAGGCGCACGATCACGCGGTGCCACGGGCACTGCTGAACCCCTTCCACGATGAGCTACTCGTCTCGTGCGGCTGCGATCACACGCTGAAACTGTGGGACAGTTCGAAGCGCGGCGGCGACCACGAGCCTGCGATTTGTCTGAAGAAACTCGCCGACTTCGGCGACTCCGTCGTCGATGCGTGTTGGAGCAGCGGCACGCCTTGGGTCTTTGCGGGGGTCTCGTACAACGGCAAGGTCCTCGTGGACGACGTGCCGAAGGAGAAAAAGATGGCGATTCTCCTGAACGATGGATGAGCACAAACGAAGACAAAAAAAAAACGAAAAAAAAGGAGGGAAGCACAACGTGTGAGTTTTTCTCTTTTTTTTTTCTCTTTTTCGGTTCCTCTCTCCTTGTCGCCTGCAGTTGGTGCGTTGCGTGGTGCCGTGGGACTCCGCACGCCGTGCGGCGATGGCGCGGTGACGGCTGGGCGCGAGAGGAACCACCGCATGTGCCTGCCCCGCACGTCTCTTGAGGCTTGCGTCTTTCCCTCGCCTTTTTGTTCCACTGTTTTTTCTTTGTTGTTGTTGTTGCTGGTGTTCTTCTGCCTCTGCCCTGCGCCGCGCACGCCTCCTCTCTCTCTCTCTCAGTCGCTCAGACGCTGCGCAGTGGCGGTGCTCGGCCCGATGGCGAGGGACAAGGCGAGGGGGACGGCGCCGCAGGAGCGGTGCGAGGGCCCCAAGGAGACCATCGCGGCCCTCAACGAGATGGAGGAGAACCTGCGGCGACTTGGGTTGCGCAGTGAGGCGGGCTCCACGACGGGCGACGCCCTCCAGGCGGGCGGGGCGCAGAATTATGTGGCGTCCATTCGAAAAGCGAAGGAGGAGGCCGTGAAGCTACGCCACGAGAAGGAGTACCGGCAGTTTGCGGCGGAGGAGCAGAAGCGCGAGAACGAGATGATGCTCTCTTACGCGAACAGGGAAAAGGCGCTGCGGGAGGTCATCAAGAAGGCTCAGGTATTGCTTGCGCAGGAGACGAGCTCCGCCCGCGACGCCGTCTCAGGCCGCGACCAGAAGCAGGCGGAGCAGTTCATACGGGCAGAGGAACTGCAGCGGCAGAGGGTCCTTCGTGGCCGCCTGCATCAGCCGGCGAAGGGGCCGGAGGCGGGTGTATTTCCCATTCAGCAAACGATGCCAGCCGCGTACGATGAGGTGCGGGTGATGAAGAAGCAAGCCAAGGCCGCTGCCGTGTGGGAGTATTGTCACATCGTCGCCTCCGGCGTTGCGGAGTTGGCCATGCGGGTGGCGGACAATGTCTACGCCCTCGGCACAGAGAACGGGGTCCCCGTGCTCCGCGTGCCCCGGGACCTGCCCAAGTCGCAGTGGCGTGCGTGGGTAAATGAACTGGTCTTTGCGAAAACGGTGTCGCGGCCAATGAGCGACGTGCTCGCCGTGACGCCCCTGCGCGAGCTCCGCGACCCCGACTACAAGAGCTCCTCCGCGCAGAGGGAGGAGGGTGTCTGCTCTTCCCGCAGGGGGAGCGAGCCGAGCGGGCGCACGGCGTCGGAGCCGGTGCGGGACGTCACCCCCTACGCGGACAGCCACGCTGTCGCCACAGACGCGGCGGCGGAATACCTCCTCAGGCGCCTGGTGGCGCGGCAACGCAACTACGAAGCCAACCTCGTCACCCGTAGCGTGGAGGATGCCATTGCGCTGATCAAAAAGTACGAGAAGCGGCGCCTTTGCGCCGAGTTGGACGAGCTGCGGCGGAAGCATGAGCCACAGTGCCCCGAGGAGGTCGCGCCGGGCTGGACGCATCGGCTGCCGCCCGCCGGGTGCTTTTTGTACGGCGATGAATTAAGTGGATTAAAGAAGTTTGTCGAGGCGGCCTGCGGCGAGGCGGCGCACGAGGCAACGCAGGCCATCCCGCCGCACCGGCGCCGCGGCAGCGCCACGGCGGCGACAGAGACGGCGCGGGCCATGGTGGAGTCTGAGGGCGGGAAATGGGAGAGCGAACCGTACCGCGTCCTCACCCCCGCGACGCTGATTCGCACGCAGCAGTCCTCCGGCCAGGGCGGCGGCGGCGGCGGCGGCGGCGGCGGCTTCGGTGGTGGCGGCGGCGGCGGCGGCAACTTCGTGACGTCCAGCTCGAAGAACGTGCGGGGACTCGCCGCCGCGGCCTCCAACGCCGCACGCGCAAAGGAGGGACGTCCGCCGGAGGAGCTGACGGAGTCGAACCCGTACATCGACGCCCTCTGCGAGGCGCTGACGAAGGAGCTTGCCGCGGTGTATCAGCATAATCTTCAGCTCGTGATGCGGAGCAGCGCCGCCGCGATTGAGCCCAAGTTCCCCGCCAAAGGCACGCTGCGCACCCTCTTCCTTGTGGGATTTCCCGAGACGGAGGCGTTTCTGCGCACGCTGCAGCAAAAGCTTCACCTCGCCGTGGAGGCCGTAGAGCAGGAGCTCAGCAAAATCCTCCGCGCAGAGGAGACGGCAGAGGAGCCGTTGGTTTCCCAGTCGCCGGCCAAGGGGCGGGGCGCCCAGAAGGGGGTCAGGAGCTCGCAGGATGCGGCGGCGTCACACAGGAAGGTCACGAGGCCGGCGCAGTCTGGTGCCGGGAAGCGAGGCACCGGTCGACTCCCCGCGACGTGGAGCGAGGAGGAGACTGTGCCTGTGCGCCCTCGCGTGTACCCGCCGCTTTGCCTTCTTGGCATCTTCCTGCAGTACGACGTCCCCTCGCGCTGGAGACGCATGCAAAACACGTGCGGGCGCCCACCCCAGTCTTCTCCAGAGTCGAGGGGCCAGAGGACGGTGGCCATCGAGGAGGAAGCTGGCGACCCCGCCCCCGACTGGACCACAGAAAAGCTGCACCACGAGCTCATTCAGCAGGACAGAAAAATGCGGAAGCTCTGGAAGACGTGGTGCACCAACGTGTACCGGATCTCCGTCTCGCTTGATGCAGAGATGCCGCGGTCCTCGTCTGCCGAGAAGCAGAAGAAGCGTCCCCGCCCCTCATTTCCAGCCAAGGGGAGTGAACCCCTGCCCCTACACCCAACCTCCCTGGCACCCGCCCCGTTGAACACGTTTCCGAAGGTGCTTTTCTTCTGGCGCAAGGAAGATCTCACGGGTGCGCTGGGGTCGAGCAACGCCGCAGAGGCCATCATCGCCGCCATCAGTGTTGTCCTGAGCCCCACCCTTTACTCCGTTACGAGGAATGATCGTCTCGTGCGGGGGCAGTTGGCGACTCCGTTGCAGTTGGGCGACTACCGTTTTCTTCCCGCCGCACTCGCGCAGTTGGTGGAACACCAGCGGCGCTTCCAGGCGCGTTGGAAGTGGCAGACGAGCCCCTACGCACAGGCGCTGACGTCGACGCTGGGCCCCTCGTCGTTACATCCGGCGTCCCTGCCACCGCTGCGGACGGTGTCCCCGGCCTTGTCGTCTACGCAGTTAGCCGCGTCAGCGGCGGCGAAGGCGGCGTGCTTGTTGCCGGCAGCAGGCACCATTTGCGGCAAAGAGAAGAGCGTGGCAGTGGAAAACATGGTGTTTCTAGAGACTGAGATGCACCGAGTTTTTGCATTTTTTTCCTGGATCTCTTGCAATTCATTACGCAAGAAGCGTTTCCTCCATCGTTGTGGGGGACGTTGCAGCACCCCAACAATGTCGTGGATCCAAACACCAGCACTGGAGTGGAAGCCTTCAGTCGCACGCTGCACTTTCTCTCCATCGACGCCAACTATGACACTTCGCGTGAGGCACTCCAAACGTTACTGGTGGATGGCATGGCTAAGCTGAGCGGGGTGTGTGCGTTGCTGCTTCACTGCGTGCTAGACTCGGCGCTGGAGTCCATGGGGGAGGCCCTGGCCTCTCTGTGCTTCTGGGCGCGGGGTCACATGTGCAATACTTCCGCGCCGTGCCCTGACGCGGAGAAGGCCCCCGTCCCCCCGTTCCCGAGCAACGCGCCCACTGCCGCTAATAGCCTCAACAACACCGCGAGGGAGGAGTTGGAGGCGGCAGTGGCGGGGGCGGGGGAGGGGGAGGGGGCGGGAGCGGGAGCGGGGGAGGAAGGAAGTGCGGCAACGCCCAAGTGCAGCATGTCCGCCGACGCCGCAAGGAAGTCCTTTTTTGACTCCGTCTCCCGCCTCAGCTTCGAGAAGGTGCAGACGATGGTGGGGCTCCTGGATGGCCAGACGACGTCCTTCAACGAATTCCAGCAGGAGCTGTGGGTCTATGCCTCCCAT